CCACCGAGGCCTGTCGTGGCTACAGAGGTAGCTCCACCCATCTCAGCACCTGCTGCCCTGCTGCCTGCAGCTCCACCCGGCCCCCGCTCCTCAGGGACGGAGGGGCCGACTGCGACCCCGATCGGAGGGGAGCTGAGCAGCGAGCGAGCGGAGACGGCGACGCCGACGGCAGCGTGAGTGAAGCGAGTAGCAAATGTAAAGACGCCGTGATGGCGCTGTAACACGTGTTCACGCGTCTCCGTGGTTCTGATGTTTTCAGGCAGGTGAAAAACTCGACGCTGAATCCAAACGCCAAGGAGTTTCTTCCCGTTAAAGGAAACGCGGTAAGTCCTCAGAGGTCGCGCCTGAGTCGTGCTTCGTGCACACTTCTCAAACATGCCGCTCATTGTGACTTGCAGAAACCCGCCTCGAACCCCGTCCCGCCTCGGCCGACCCCGCCCAGCCCCGCGGTGGTCCTCCCAGGACAGCCAGGAGGAGGGGCCATCTACAGCAGCCCACCTGCACACTACCTGTCCTACATCTCCCCCATCCCCCTGCAGGGACACTCCATCCAGGTGTGTTTTTATTTAAATGTCCGTCTCAGGGGGCGGGGTTGGTGATGACACTGATGTGATGTAATGGCGTCCTCGTGTCCTCCTCAGGCTCCTCAGCTGTATCAGTACACCGTGTCGACCATCAGTCAGGGGAAATACCCCAGACCCAAAGGTACACGCCGCACTCACGCCTCCATATTTGGTGTCCCTGTGAGAAACGAGCGCTTTTCTTTTCCCGTGCCGCCGCCTCCAGTTCAGATCAGGACGCTGTGTGTCTGTTAGTCCTGCAGTTTGATCGTTGGACGTTCAAATTTATTGTGCTGGTTGAGTTCAGTGATCCAGGTGTTCTTCTGCTCCAGGGTTGGTCGGGGGTCCGCGTCCGGAGCACCACGGCTCCCCGGCCTCCTCCATGATCTCGGCCTCGGCAGCAGGGCCCCAGCTGGTGGCTTCTCCTTACCCCCAGTCCTACCTGCAGTACAGTCAGGTGATCCAGGCCTTGCCCCCACACTTCCACGGACAGGTAAGTGCAGCGTGCTCTTCGCCTGTCGCTGAACCAGGTTTCTGTGAGACGTGCTATCGTGCAGTCGTCACAAAACACGTGACCTCAGTGACGGCCGCTCGCTTACTGTTGATGTCTCTGCGGCGGTTACGGAAACATTTACAGGAAGATGAGTTCACGTTTCGTCTTCTGTGCTTTTTAAAACGTGGTGCTGACTTTGTCCTCTCTCTTTAACCATAGCCGATTTACTCGATGCTGCAGGGAGCGAGGATGCTGACCGCCGGGGCCGCTCAGCCGCTCGGGCCCCCGGGCCCCCAGTTCCCCGGGCAGGCCGACGGCCCGCCGGGCCCCCAGCAGGCCATGTACGGTAAGAGAGGAGCTGCATGTTAAAATTTGAGCTTCAAACACAAATTTATCTCCTTTTGTTTCACATGCAGCTCAGAGTTGCTGCTTAATGACCCACACAAGTAAATATTTATTGTGAAGCAGATTCAGCTTTCAGTCTGAACGTGTCTTCAGCTGAAACAGGACGTTTAGAGACGTCTTTACAGGAACAACAGACGATTCGACGTCTTCGTGGTTCAGACAGATTTGAGAGCTCTGACTGTTTGACCTGATGCGGCGTTCGACTCCTCTGTGATGAAGCTGACATCAGGAATAATATCAGACTAGAGATGAGCTCAAATACATGCAGAAGAGTGTAGGCAGGGTGGAGTGGGTGGGGACAAGTGTCGGGGTGACAGATGGTCTTGGTGGTGTCAAAGAGCAGGTTATTGTGAGAACCCCACCCAGTCAGGTGCTTCACCTCCTCCCTACAGTCTCTCACTGTGGTGTTGGTGGAGAGAGGGGGTTCAGGATGAGGGTGGAGGAGACCTGTTGGGGTTTGCTGGTCAGAAAGCTCAGTATCTGGGCGGACCTCGCCAGTTTTCACTCTCAGCAGAGCATCCAGGGGGCCAGATGTTTCACACCCCTGGAGGAGTTTGGTGGTTGCATTGTGTCGTCTGCATAAAGACTAATAACATTTACAGGTCGTGCAAAAAAAGACGTTTAAACTGGAGCTGGGCATCGTCACTGATTTCTAGAATCGATTCAATTCGATTTAAATCTGGGAAATTTTGACAGTCAGAAATATTATAATTCAGATCAGCACATTTACATATTTTTGTATCTATAAAAAGGAAGCTGACACACGCAAGACTTTATCAAAGGTGTGAGCATCACAGCAGAGGCCTTTGTGTCAAAGCAGCTGAGGATAAAACAGAAAAACATGAAGCAGATTTTCCTGTTCTGGATTTTATAAAAATATTCTGCAGTCGATCAAAAACGAAAGAAAACCATTAATCAGCACATGAACATCACCTCTGAAGTTACAGCGGTTTTATTACAGACACAGCGTTTTGCATTTTGTATCATTTCAAAAAGTTTAAAAAGTATTTCAACAGCAGAAATGAGGTCTTGTTTTCGGTAGACTTGTGCGTAACAAGCAAGCGAATAATGCAGAAAACAGATTTTTAGACAGAGAGAGCGGTGCGCTTTTTATTGTGGTGGCAGCAAAACAGCAAAGTCAGAGTGAATCCATGACGATGTTTATGTGAAGCGTAGTTTGGATCAATGTTGTTTGGAGAGAGATCAAACTAACAGCTTCAGAATCAGCACAAAAAGGGCGTGAACACAAAGCTCGACCCGCCGACAGAGTCAGCGAGCTGTCGGCTTTCAGCCCCGACCGTGTCCGTGCCGTCGCTGAGAAAGTCACAGCTCGCTGATCCTGATGCGTCGGCGGGTCGAGCTTTGTGTTCACGTCTCTGTGCAGAAGCCTGTTCCTGCTCTCAGTTACTGTTTTCATCTTTGGTGGTTGTTGAAGTTTTGTGAGGTTTCACCGGAGATTCTGGCATTTCGGGAAAAATTCATCTATATTAAAAAATCGATTCAGGATTTGAATGAATCGATTTCACGTTATCCAAATCCAGAATCAATTTTAATCGATAAATCGATGATTAAAACCCGCCCCTAGTTTAAACCAGACTTTGACCACCAGGGGGCAGCGCTTTAGAGCGGATCGTAGATGCTCTTTGTTCGATCCCCGTTTCCTCGGGCTGCTGTTGTAAAGAAGATGCTTGTTATTTGTCTGCTTAAGTAAAGGTTAAAGGTCACTGCGCCATGTTGTGCTTCAAATTGTTTTTGCACACCGTTCCAGCTCTGGTCTGTTCGGCTTCTCTCAGATGATAAAGTCATCGTGGACATTTCCTCTGTGAAAACTCTTTAATTTACAATAAAAAGCGTAAAATCGTTGAAGGTGTGACTGGTTTAACCCACCTGTGTGAGGTGGGAATGCTGATTAAAGCTCATCCTTCCTCCTCTCTCAGCTCCTCAGTCCATCCATACTCACCACTCGGGCTCCCTCCATCCTCCTCAGCCCTCCAGCACACCCACTGGGAGTCACCCCCCACCCCAGCACACGGCCCCCAGCCCAGGACACGCTCAGGTGGGTGCATTCTGACGCCAACGATGACTAATCCATCGCATCTGAAGCTTTTGTTCAAAGTCAGGAGAAACTGATAACGCTGCCGTCAGGTTTGTTTTTCTAAATGTTTTAATGTATTTATTGGTTCACACTCCTCAGGTGAGTCAGGGCGCCTCTCAACCTCAGTCCTTGTTTCACTCCGGAGGTCTGTCGGCTCCCACGCCCCCTAACCTGCCGCCGGGCCACGGCTCGCCGCAGGCCGCCTACGCCATGCAGGGATACGGCTTGCCCACACCCCAGCAGCTGACCCACGGCTTCCCGTCAATCAGCCAGCTCACACAGGTGAACAGGAAGAGCACCTGCCTGAGATAAACCGAACGTGAGGTGTTTCTGCCGCTTTAACCGTTCTTTAGATTCATGTGAGAACAAGTCGGGTTCAGGAATCCGCTGTTCTCACCGTGTGTTGTTTGCAGAGGTAAACGTGAAACCTGGAGTATCAGCCAAAATAAAAACATTTATATTATAATATTAATCAGCTGATTAATAACGTGAGGTTTCTTTCATCTTTGAGCTCGGCGCCCCCTGCTGTCAGATTGAAACCTCTCCTGTTTGTCCTCTGCAGGCTCACATAACGGGCGGCATGTCGGGACCGCACCACGCTGCCGGCCACGGCCCCCCGCCTGTCATGCTGCACTACGCCCCCCTCAGCAGGGTGGCGGCTCCAACCCCCAGCACGGCCCGCCGCCCCAGCAGGGGGCGCCGCAGCACTTCTACATCGGACCCGGTCAAGGTGAGGGGAACAAACCTCCCACAGACTTAAATCTCAGCTCCTGCTGCGACCGTCAAACACAGGCTCGCATGAAACTCACAGCAGAAACAAAGTCGACGGTCGGGTCGTCTGCAGGGAAACCTGAGGGTTATTGGCCACTGAATTATTAGTAAATGAATCAAATCAATGATAATTGGCCTAATCTAAGCTGTGGGAGTGCATCGGCGCCATCGAGCAGGAGACGGTTGGCTCCAGATGGCGCTCCGGGCTGTGAGGAGGATTTAATCCCGAGCTTTTGTGTTTCGTGTCTTCCAGCTGTCCAGGTCCAGGCTCACCCCGCCCAGCAGCTGTCCTTCCATCCGTCCGCCAACTGAAGCCGGCCGGATTCACGATAGCGGCGTCGCCTCCACCTCGTAACATTCCCCGCACGCCTGACACGAGTTGATGTTCTCACCTGGATGTTTTTTAAAAAGCAGATCAGACGGAAACGCCTCGCGTGAGGCGGAGCTTCTCGATTTTTAACACGTAGGCAGAGACCGTCTGTACACACGGACATGAAACTGGACTGAAGACGTTCAAACTGGTGGAAACTTTGTGTGCCCCATTCTTCCTCTGTCCTTTTTACAGACGAAACCAGTTCATTATTAATAAAAGCACTGAAACCGCTTTGGTTCTGTCTCCGTGAAGAGTTTGATTCACTGTAACCTCCAGCTGGGCGCAGATAGACTCGGATTCAGGTTTTCTTTAAAACATTTAATTTGTAGTTCTTTAAAAAACATTTGTTCTCACACTCAGGTTTTTACAGGCCCAGAGACGACAGCAAACAGCAACTGCACATAAATACATGAAAAACACTGGATGGATGAGAACGTTCTCAGGAGGTGTCATCAAAGTAAAGCTCAAACATGTCGCCCCTCATGACGCGAGGCGTGTGAAAGGAAGAGTTAACCAATGAAATAAAACCTAACGTATTTAAGTCAAATATTTAAAGAGAGAAACCTGTGAGTCAGAGTCACGGGAGAGAAACTGATCTGACGCCTCCTCGCACTGCTGGATTTGTCGCTGCTACAAAAGCGAATAACAGGATCCTAATTTAGTGTTCCCACCTTCGTGACTTATAAATACTCTATGGTGTCTCTATGGTGACGCTCGGGGAAACCTGCACAGCGACTTCCTGTTCCGGTTCCAGCCTGTAGGGGGAGCAGGTTTGAAAATGGGACGGCAGTCTACCCACTAAGGAGGAAACGAAATCTGACTGCCGGTTATTACTTTCATTTATTTAAATAAGGTGACGGCAGAGATCGGCTGGCGTGAGGCCGTCTGCGGTCGCTGTGACGGGCTGGCGCGATGATCGGGCTCGTCTGCCGCAGGGACGCTCGGCCGGTTGTATTCTGCTTTTATTGCCGAGTGTGTAATTTTGCAGTTTTTGTTTCAGAGCAGTGACGTTTGGGCCGGATACGCCACACAAATACAAATCCTCACCGTAAACAGATTACATGTCATTTCCGGTCGAGTCGCGCCGCTCCAGGTTCCCGAGTGTAACTGCAGCGTAAAGGTCCAAAAACACTCCAGCAGATATTTACACAAAACCAAAGAAGCAAAACTTGACTTCCTGTTTGGACCGAGGACGCCGCTGGAACAGGATGGATTCCTCCAGAGCACGGCTGGCATTTACCTGGTTTCCAGGTATCTGATGGCCAAAGTGGAAGTTTCAAATGTGCAGTTTTACGCCTCCGTCAGTCTGATCACACTGACACTGCTGAGCCTGCAGGAAGTGGGGAGGAAGGTGTTTCAGGTCTTCATCTCAGTTTCTTATCTCAGTCGTTCAGCTTAAAAAAAACACAAAACAAAAAGAACTGGTCGGGCGTCGTTATGGAGGAAGGTGAACGCTCGATGTGGTCGTCAGTGGTTGACTAGTCCCATCTGAAAAGAAGAAGACAGCGACTGAGCCGACGTCTCCAACGAGAAGCTGAATGTTGGCGAGTCGCTTCGACTTACAGGTTGGTTGACGTAGTTGGACTCTTCGTACTCGTCTTCGCTGCTCTGAGCGGATGAACCTGGAGTGGACCCTGAACAAAAGACAAACATCCGACCTTTTATAACCACGTGTGCTTAAAAACCAAAACATTCAGTGAGTTATTTTGTCACAGAGGAGGATTATCGAAGCTTATTTGCTGATGACATGTCAATCAAAAGAAGACAACTTTACTTTGATAAGTCGCACGACGGGGGAAGGTACCGGACAGTTGGAGCATAGCGTCGGGTGCGCAGTGCAGTATACCTTTTGGTGCCACGTTCTCATAGGGTTCGTCGTCGTCGTCTTCTTCTGAGCAGAGAACAGAGGCGGCGATGCGGCGTGATTAAAAATGAATTCTGACTTCTGTTTGAACAGCTGCTTGTTTTGGCGTTCAGACATTTTAAAACTTGTCATACTTTCCTGTTTTGTTTCCGTTTTAAATAAAAGGAAAAGAAACGTTTGAAACGCGTTGAAGCTGAACAACTATGTTGCCTTACCATCGAGGTTCACGTAATTATGATCTGTGAAAGAGCACAAACAGCTGATGAGTCCACATTCTGTTGACTCCCCAACGTCCGTGTTTTACGATGAAAGATCCAAACTGCACCTGAACTGGGCGTCGAGGCTCGGCTCTCGATGTCCGCGGGGACTCCTTTGCTCTCCTCCGGATTGTCGGGTAACACCTCTCTGGGGAAACCACAGAAGAAGAGGAAGATCAGTTTAGAGCGTCATCACTGAGGTGCAAACACCAGCTGGAAGCTGCACGTGGAAACCTACATGTAATTATCATGATCGTCAACGTCCTTCTCAGGTTCTGTGGAAAAACAAAAGTCAGCTAAACATCACGTTCCTGCACACTGACATCACAGGGTCAAAGGTCAGAGTTTTCTTCCTGACTTAAATCTAACAAATCCCAGATTCTAATCCGAGTCTGCAGCCCAATCCCGGTCCAGACCAGCTCTCCCAGTCCAAAGAGCTTAACCAGTCCACTACAACCATAACCAGGTTAAAGAGGTCCAATATTAAATCCCAGGTCCAGTTTAACTAATCTCAAAGTTAAATAAATCCTAAAATCTCAGAGTTAAACCTATTAAATCCAGTCTAACAGTTTCCACAAGTCTCACTGATAAATCGCTTTTGGAGGCCGAGAAGCTTCAGGTCTTGGAAGTCAACGTCAACAAGACAAAGTGATGAAAGTCAGTCACTGGTTTTTGTTTTTCACACAGAAATGTCACAATATTGAGATTAAAAGTAGATCTTCATCTCCCAGCTGCTTCCTTTAGAGGTCACCGCAGCGGATCATCTACCTCCACCTCCTCCAACCAACTCTGCACCAACCAGTCTAAACTTATCAGATCAGATGTCAGTTCTGAACTGTGGCAGCCTGAGAGGTGAAACATCTTCACGAAGCTCCTCTGAGCTGTTCCTCTGAACAGGCAACAAGCCGGTGTACTCCTGGCATAAAGTCTAATCGTGTGGCTCATCAAAAATGACTCTCTTTAATCCAAAACGGCTCAGATGGGTCTGATCCTCTGTACCACAGCTCTGTCTGTGCATCTGATGATCTGAGCTTCATCTGACTGATGCTGGGCTCACTGTGCAAATGCAAATGGGTCTGATTGCAAAAAGAGGAGGGTGTACCCGTACCTGGATTCTCATAACTCGGGTTGCTCTCTGTAGGACAGAATTGGAGCAACAGGTTTGGGTAAGAAGGTAAAACAGAAAAATACAACTTAAATAATGCGTTGTCCTTTCCAGGCTCACCAGTTTCTGTTGGGGTGTAAGGTCTGTGCTCAGGTTTGGTTGAACTGTGAAACACAAAAAAGAGATCTGTGCACATCACACAACGATTTCTAAAGCTCTGCACGCTCCCAGGAGAGCGTCTCCTGCTCGCCAACGTTCATCACCTGAACCAGGTGCGCTCATAACACAGAGGGACTTACAAAGGAAGCCGCAGGTGGGGGTCAGGTGGAGGGGTTGTAATGATGACGGGGTTCGGGGGTAGGGTCGGCTGGGCTGGAACACAGATCAGTGTTAGCTTCATCATCATCAGCATAGAGAGGTATAAAGCACTCGTATCCGTTTTTAAGAGCAGTCGTCCATCCTCGGGGAGGGGACAACTTTACTTTCTCCTAAAAGCTCAAAGTTTCAGTTTTTATTATTTCGTTTACCTGCGTAAAACCAAACCAGCAGATTGCATCAGCTAGTTACACTTGTTTCCCATCCTCGCTGACCTGCATTGGCTTCCCATCAAATACCGCATTGATTTTAAAATGATAAATGACTTTGCTCCCAGATATCTTACTGAACCTCTCAGCTTGTACACTCCTGGCAGAGCACTGAGATCAACAATCGCTCTCAGTGCAGCCTGGGTCTCGGCTGAAGGCCAGAGGTGATCATGCTTTTGCCATAGCTGCACCCGAACTCTGGAATAATCGTCCTACTGCTGTTCACTGAATCAGTTCAATCTTTTAAATCGTGATTGAAACCCATTTATTCAATCTAGCCTTCCCTAGTTAGTGCCTGTATCCTGCAAATGTTCCCTTACGTAGTTTTAATCATTTTATTTTATTGCTGAATAATCTCTGTGTTTTGTATTTACACTGCGCTGAGGCTAATTCGTGCGCTCCACCTGTTGGTGTATTTAGACCCTGTTATTGTTCCTATCTCTAATTTATTGTATTACTGTGAAGCACTTTGGTGTACCGCTGCTTTTTAAATGTGCTATACAAAGAAGGTTGTATTGTATTAGTTATTTCATTTGAAGTCAGCGTTGATGTTAAATGTGACCACAGTTTGAAGGTACGCACACAGAAAATCCGTGCACGTCGGACCAAAGCTCAGGCTGATTTCAAAGCTTACCAACGCTGATGCTGCCGCTCGCAAGGCTTCTGGAAGTCGGCATGGAGAGAGGAGCTTAAAGAGACGAGCAATAATGAGACCGATTATTGTGAAGTGTGAGTCACGCAAAGCTGCACAGAGTAAAAACACAGAGGTGGAAATGTGAAGGTGATGAGTGACCGACATCGCAGAGCAGAATCGACCACGTGTTCATGGACCGTTGGTTTGAGCTGATGGTTGGACTGATGTTTCAGACTTACCTGCATGGATGACTCTGAATTCAGGTGATCTGAAAAAACAAACATCATCGTTTCTAAGCTTTGACTCATCGATGAAAAGTTCCTCTGTGCTGCAGACGGGAACACTTACGTGTACTCTTCTGAAGCTGTTTGTTGGATGGACCCTGATGGGCGAGAAAAGAAAGATTATAATGTGTCAGTAGCTCAAAGCAGAAATCTCAGAAGACGCTGTGCTGGACACGATGGGTGTGAAAGATCTGGTCTGAGTCAGAGATAAAAGGCGTTTCTGAAAACCACAGGGTGGTTTGTGCTCGAGTCAGGTCAGCCTGTGGTTAACAGCGGTTAGCCGCAGGTTGATACAGTGTCAACTGCAACTTTCACCCACGCAGTGGACCTTTGTTCCTGCAGTCCAAACAGATGACGGCCAGGAGGACGATGGAGACGAAGACGGCGGCCGACACGAGGAGAAGGAACCAGGAGAAGTCCATGGTTTATCTGAGAGGGAAAGGAGAAGATCACAGGTCAGGTCTTAACCTCCGTCACTGCAGATAAGGACGACTGAGGTCGAGTAACTTCAGTTATTTAAAGCAGACTTTGATCAAACCTGGAACAAACAATCCTGAACTTTATCAGATGTGTTTGAGCCTAAAGTGATGTTCAGATTCTGAAGTTTACTTTCACTTTGTTATCAGTCATCAATCTGCACAGCAGGAAACCAAACAGCTTACTGTTGAACTTCCTCTGAGGTCTTCCTCCTGCCTGCAGCTCCATCGTCATCATCCCCCCTCCCTCCTCTGCACATGCTCAGACTGTCTCAGCCTCTCTGACTCTGAGCCGTGCCCCTCACTCCCAGTGAACATCTGAACATCTGCTATCGATCTAATCAGTCAACAAATAAAAGGATGTCCTGTTCACAGAAGCATTCACATCATCTGCTGCGTTGAGCAGTCCAGGCCGTGCCAGACTGAGTTACTGAGACATAATTAGCAAAGGCTGGATCGGATGAAAGCAATCTGATTGGTCAAGGCTCGTGGTGACGACGATTGGCTGGGAATAGTTTTTTGCTTTAGTCATTAAAAACTTTAATCTTCATCATGATATATATAAATATATATAAATACACACACACACAGTCATGAGCTGGTCATGAGCTATATAGCATGGCGGCGGCAGCGTCATGGCGTGGGGGCATTTGTCAGGTTGATGGTTTAGTTAGTGCAGTGGGAAAAATACAAATCCACTCTGAGTGAAAAACCTTTTCAGGTCATGTTTTCACTGTTGTTTGTTACTCAAAAGGCTACAAGCTGAATCTCAGGAAGCTGGGTGAAGACGAAGCAGCACGTTTTGATCCGGACTTTCTTTAGACCTGAAAGAAAGAAAATTCCCTCGAGTGAAGGATTCGCTGGCCGAGTGCTTTTGTTCTGTTTGGATTAAGAGTAACTTGTAAACCTGTGTCAGGTCAGTGCTGACCCACCTGGGGTTATGGTTAGGGTTTGGACTAATCCACTCATTTCAACAGACGAGTGGGTTTTTTTCTTCAGTTTTTACAGGAGGACAAAATATTGGAGACTTTGTTTTACAGGCAGCGTCTTCTAGTTTGAGCCTGTTTATCTGAAGCGGGCGTCCGGTGGCCTGCAGAGCGCGTGAGCTCTTGTTCTCTGCCGATGATTGTGTTTCACCATTTAATGCTAAAAAAGGAAGCAGGAAGTGTCCCACAAACGTGCACACACACATTCTGGTTAGAATAAAAAACAGAGTCTCAGCCGTGAAAAACCTGCTCCTCACAACAACAAGTCTTTAAACGTGAGCATGGAGGATTGTTACCGCGAGCCGTCTCTTCTCTGGAAGTTTGGTGTTTTTCATTCTGTGGTTTTTCTCGGCTTTTGAACACAACAACTGGAAACTTCCACCAATGAAGCTGCACAAACAAGTCAAATTTCCACTGGCTTCAAACACAAAACAAAAGCTTCAGTTTAATTCAGATTTTGAAGCTAAATGTTCAGAAGTCGTGCGATCAAAGCCGTCCTCCTCGGGTTCATAACGCCGACCCGAACTGCGCTGGATGAGACATAAAAACCAGAAACCTTTGTGGTCTGGCTGACAAACGGTTTCATGCTACATTTCTACATCACTGGAGGAAAAGTGCATGTGTGCAGAGCTGAGGGCTGCTGCACCCGCTCAACTCTGACTGTTACCTGCAGTAAGGTCAGAAAAAAGAAAGGAAAACCTGCAGAAGACATGAATCTGAAAAGTGATACCGATGCTTATGATGGGCCATATACATGTTACATCACATCACAAACACCAAATTCCTGCTGGAGCAACACCCTGGACCCAAACATCCACCCACAGACGTGAAGAAGCATCTTCATCCAGCACAAGTACAGACGGTGCGTCGGTGAGCCGGGACTCTGTGGGATCAGACGACCAAACTAAAGTCACATTTTGACATACTCGGGTCTACGTGTACTTCATGTAAATGATGTACCGTCATCATTTACATGAAGTACAGACGGCCACAGGAACCTGGATAACATTAGCTAACATTAGCTAACATTACCGGTAGCTAACATTAGCTAACATTAGCGGGCGGCCTCTGTCGCTCCACAACAAGTCACTGAAACTGAGCAGAGAGCAGTTTACGTGACTGAGGTCTGGTAGGGTTTGATTTTCTAAGCTGTCTGCAGGTCATTGACAGCAGGTCTCTTTTGCACCAGCACATCATACAAAATACAGATTTTCACAAACTTGTCAGGAACGACCAGGAAAGCTCATCTCACATTATAATCGGACTCATTTTGCCACAAGTAAGTTTGAGTTTGACAAACGCTCGTGTGCTCGTCTTCATCACACGAGGCCGTGAACACGAGGAAGCTGTTCAAATGAAACCGGCTGTCCTATTTTCTTAAATAACTGGTGGTTTTTACCTTCCTGAGTTATCACAAAGAACAGTGTGATGCTAATCTGCTCTCAGGGGTGCGTCACACAGGAAGGAAAACCATCCACCACGTGGTGCGACTGACTGGTACTGCTCGCTTTCTTTCCCCTGCAAACCCAAAAGTCTCCAGTAAACAAGGCCAGCCGGCTCCGAACGCTGGAAACACACTTCAGAGGAAACAAGATGATGGAAACCCGACTCAGACGAACATCTTCGGCCTCGGCTTCGCAGCTTTTACTGCATCTCACAAACATCAATTCCACACTGCAGCGAGGAAGGCCGCCATCTTGCAAATGTAGAGCCCGCCACAAAACCCCCCGAAAGGTTTTATTAAACTCTGTCAGCAAACAGAAGCTCGTCTAATAAGGTCACAGCTGTGCAAAGGAAACGAACTGACTGATAATGATCGGTTTTATCTGAGCTGCACATGTTTCTGAGCTAAAAATCAAATATCAGCAGTGAAAATCATGCACCACACCTCAAAGCTCAACATCAAACTCAGCTCATGAACGATTACATCCTTTCATATTATTACATCATCTTCTTAACGATGCTTTAATTCAGTTTCTTCAACTGCCATGAAATCCATGAAATTAATCAAATATGTTTTGAAATCTTCAAAAGCAGGTTAGAAATCCGTCCAAAGGTGGATCTAAACCTAATCCCTGAAACCGCATCAGATCAAACCAAAGATAAAATTAGGTAATTGAATTAGGCTGAAACCAGTCTAAAACCAAGCCCAAAGCCACATCTGAAAGTCTAAAGTCACACAGACAGACAAAAGAGACCTCCTGAATTCACAAAAGCTCTGCCGCGTCTTTCAAGATTCTGCCAAAACAAATTTGTTTGAAATTTATTTTTCTTCTAGTCCAAAATAACTTCAGTCAGAAACCAGTCAGTGTAAAGACCAGTCTGAAACTGGGTCTCAAATCACCTTTAATACAGAGTCTAAACCCAGTAGACACTGAGATGGTCCGAAGACACGAAACTAGGTCAGCTCAAAATCAGTCAAAAAACCCCCACGTCCAAGACCCAGTCCGAGCCCACGTTTGGAAATCAAACAAAAAATGGCTGAAAACCAGTCCTCAACCAGTCTATAACCAGTTATAACCCATCATAACTAATCTATAATGGTTATAACCATTCTATAACCCATTATGACAGTTTTAACCGTCTATAACCAGTTATTCAATTCAGTTCAGTTTTATTCATATAGCGCCAAATCACAACAAGAGTCACCTCAAGGCGCTTTATACTGTAAGGTATATAATATTATAATAATATACATAATATATATATAATTATAATATATATAATATAATAATATACAATAATATATATCATCTATAACCAGTTCTAATCCATCTATAACCCATTTTAACCAGTGTATAATGATTATAAGTATCTGTAACGGTTTATAACCAGGCTAAGTCTTTAGCACTAACTCATGAATCCTAATGATTCTTGAGTTTCTGAGATCTTTACGTGATCAGCAGGATTTTTTAACCCTAACATCCTCACATGTTTCTGTTTGTTCACGATTATCAAACTGTGAGCAATAAAATACACAAAAATGTCGAGTGCAGCAAAAATGAAAATGAGAATTAGCGCTCATATTTTCAAAGTGATATAGATATTTTTAATTTGTTAGAAAGTCCAAAAGCTCCAGACTGAAGCCAGACC